CTAGCGCTTAAACACTTATTCTGCTCAAAAGCTGAACCTGCTGGTGGTTTTCTTTCAAGCCTGTAACAGTTTCTCTTCTGTAAACTCCTATGTACGTATGGATATACAGGCTGACAAAGAGGAGCTTTTACAGCCTGAATAAAAAAAACACCAAACGCCTGTAAAAGCAGCATTTTTATAAAGAGAAGTGTGGATCATCCCAAAACTGCGCCTTTAAAAATCGCGTGAAGCTTGTCACCTGAAAAGGAGCATGAGCTCCCTTTTGGGTGACAAACGCGCATAGGGCAACTTGAAGAGTGAATAGGCTGCCCTATGTGCCACATGCAAAATTGCGTGGAAATCACCTCAATCGCGCGTGGGAATGCTTGTTGCTACGCAAAAGTAGTAAAGGTTTCGATACATAAAAACTACAATAAAAACGATCTACTGCTGGCAATCTTTTTTTTTTTTAGTTTCTTGCTCCACCTGTTTTATTATAGAAGGTGAATAAAGAGAAAATACACCCAACAATCCGACCTAATATCATTGACGAATGATCCATCATGGCCGGCAAGGACAGTGGCAGCTGAATTATTGATACATTTAGAAGGCTGGCTTTCATCGGGAGGACCAAGAAACGAGACACCAAGGTAAAAGGCGTGGCCACCTCTGACAGCCGTGACGTCAACAGCCCCGGGAGAAGAAGAAATCAGCGGGAGGGGCGTGGCCAGGAGCGGGTATTAGATCTCCGGAGTCACGTAGCTCTGCAGCAGAATCGGGTTGCACAGAGCAGATCGGGGTTCACCATCGAGGAGAAGGTCCAGGTGAGTGGCAGCCCCGCTCATCGTGTGTAGGTGGAGGGTGGCCTCCTCTATAGGCTGCGGCAGGCTCTCGTGTCGGTGTTTAGCTGGGTGTCTGATCAGCGCTTCTCACACTCATCAGCTGTCTGTGTGCATCTGCAGCCGCTTTCATTGTATGTTCGGTATGCAGCGGCTCCTCCAGCTCATCTGCTGAATGGATGGAAAAGCAAAGATGGCTGCTGAACATCCTCCGCATAGAAGGAGCCATCTGCCATAAGGGAGTGTGCAGAGGGAGCTGAGGATGGCTGTGTGCTCCGAGGAGAGCAGCTTCAATCAGCTGGTGTTACACATCAACTGCATTGCTGCCTATTATAATGGAGGGATCCATCTGCTTTCCTGTTATTGAAAGCAGAAATGACTGCAATCATTCTTTTATCAATGTCCCGTAAACACTTTACAAATATTCTGTGCAAACTGTTGGTGCTATATAAATCCTATATAATATGTGATGGGGTTCTAGTAATAGATCTTCCTCCATTGTACTGAATCCGAAGTAGGCCGTTTGACAGGTTTGTATGTCGTTCTTAATGACCTCCATGTCCCCCCCCCCCCCCCCCCCATGTATTATACCTGCAGTTCTATCCGTCAAAGCAAGGGGAAACTAGTCCTTTCTCATCTGTTCAATATAATTAATACTTTGGAATTTAATATTGCTGCAAATTCTGGAAACATCAGCACTCAGTAATGAGACATTGAATAATTAATTTAAAAAAAAAAAAAAAAGTAAGATGTGTGGTTTTTTTTTTCCCCTGCATATTGTGTTTTGATATAGTCTTATTGTTATGCTTTATTAACATTTTGATAAAGTGTCTTTTGTGGCAATGGAACTGATAACTGTGATTGTCCCCAGACCTTAATAAATGGGGGTGTGGGGACAGATCACATTTAGGGCCAGTTCACACTACCTGTATTTTTTCAGTTGCTCCTTCCCCCCCTTTTTTTTTTTTTTTTTTTTTTTTTCTTTCTTCTGCACAGAACTGTACTAAAACACACTGGAATACACATATCCCTATTTAAAATGAAAAAAAAGAGAGAGGGGGGGAAAAAAATTAACTGGAACGCATTAAAAATGCACTGGAACATGCCAAAAACACATCAAATACACTCATGCAAAAACGCATCTTGACTGCATTTCTATAGTCTGAACCAGCCCTTAAAGCGGAGTTCCACTCAACCTATCAAAAAATAAAGTCAGCAGCTACAGAAACCTGTAGCTGCTGACTTTTAAAAAAAAAACAGCCACTTACATGTACCCCGGTCCCCCGTGGGTGTGTCCCCTGCAGCTCGTTTCACTGGCCGTCCTGTATTCCAGGAGGCCGGCATCTTCAGTGTGGGCACCTGGCTGTGATAGCTTGCGGCTTCACAGCTGGATACCTACTGCGCAGGCGCTAGTAGTGCTGCACTTTGTGAATGGTCCTGTAGTCTTCTGGGACTTGTCACATGTCCCAAAAGACTACAGGGAGGGAGGACACCTTCAACCGGAAGTGGGAGCGGGTACCTGTCAAATTTGGGTACCCGCACCCAAAGGTGCCAATCCTTAATGGGGAGCAGTCCTTTAAAGCGGAACTTCCCCTTTTGGGTGGAGCTCCACTTTAATCAGATGTTTATTGATCTCTTACTGATGTACTTGTCAACTACCCCCTAGTACCAAAAAGCTGCCCCGGCTTGTTGTGTAGTAAAATGGATGTTTGCATGCACTGGGCCTTATTTATGGGGCTAGGTCAGCCAACAGTAATATATGCAGATCCTGGTGTGGAGGAGGCAAGCCCCCGCCTTTATGGATAGCTTGGATAAATTACCAGCATCCCATAAGTTAAAGCACTTAGGAGTTCTGGGTATTCTACTCACTTTGTCGTTTCAGAGTTGCCTACTTATTTATTATTTAATGGAAGGAGAAAAGGGAGGCAACGGAAAGAGCGAACCCTTCATGATGAGCACAGGCGATGTGGAGACCCAGGAGCTCAATGGCAGGTTCCCCAGCCTCTGCCAGATCCTTGACATGGGTGGTTCTGCTCTCCACTAAAAACAAACTGAAATCGATTTTGGGCGCTCCAATGCTTTTTAACAGCATGGAAGGTTTGTAGGTGAAGAACACAGTATGGCGTTTATTGGCTGTGCAGCCTGATGACAGGCCTGGTGTAGATGAAGGACAATTCAAGGTCATTACATTAGGTTTGGCCTAAAGACAGATCAGTCTGTGTCTTTTCTGAATGAACAAAGGGCTGACTTGTTTCTAATGTGGAACAAAGGTAGAATGCTTTTTTTTTTTTTTTTTTTTTTTTTCTTTCCTTTTTCAAACCCAGTGGATTTCCTGTTTGGTATTTTGCTAAGCAGGTGAAAAATGTAAGCAGACCCTTGTTGCCTGCCGTGGTCAGACCCTTCTCCTGCCTGTTGATTTTCTAAACTGGCCTGTTTTGGGGGGTTTTGTCACTTTGTTGTGACAGATTGCTTACTTCCGCTACAAAGCCTTCTTGTTTTGGTTGCTATGGTAGCTGGTTGCTATGGTAGCTGGTTATCCGTCAGCAGAAGCTGCCACATTACTCAAATGGTGCACTTTACCCAGAATGCCAGGGGGGTTCGTTAGAGCGGAGCATGTAAGAAGCATCTGTTGGAGTGTAACACCTGTAGAATATTCATGTTTTTATTTAGTCTGACATTCATGTTTATCCCCCGATTAATGTTAATAGTGACCACATAAGTGACATGGCCAAGAGCGATTTCTTTCCAAGCAGTCCATTTGTCTTACTGCGTGTTGTTTCTAGGAGACTTGGAGGATGCGGTTTGGCATTAAGACAAAGAGCTTTGTTGGAAAGTAATCTCTTTACCCCTCTCCAGGCTTTTATCCTTGGACGGTTAAATCATATTAACTTTGATTACAGACAAGCAACCATAACTTCGTATGTCACCTCCTTTGGTAACCCAGAGGACATGACATGCGTACTTTTGTGACTCCTTAGCCTATCCAATAACGTTGCATGAATTAATAACATCATTATTACCCACCCTCACTTTTTTTTTTTTTTTTTTTAGTTTGTTAAAGTAGAACTAAACCCTAACTGGATGACCTTATCACACCCTGTGAGCATTTATATAAGCCTTTTTTTTTTTTTTTTTTTTTTTTTTTTTTTTTTTTTTTTACATAAGCATGTTTTACAAGCATTCATGCATGTACTGCAAGCTCCTGGTGAGAGGAGGAGAATAGAGGAAAAACGTTCAGGTGCAAAAGCACACAAAACCGCTTCCGTTGAAGTTCATGGAGCCATACAAAGCACAACACCATTCCAAAAACAATTCTTTGTATACCTTTTTTCGAGCAACAGAGCATAGTGATATGAATGGCCTATAGTGACAAGAATGGAATTCTTATTGCTGAGCGTGATCGCATGTAGGATCAAAAACAAATTTTTTAAATTTTATTTCATAGACTATTTTTGCCACCCCCTTTCCTTTTTGTCATATATATATATTTTTTTTCTAACCTTAATGCTGCTGATCTCTAGTAGGTGTGGTGGTTTTTTTGTTTTTTTGTTTGTTTTGTGGTCATTTTTATTTTGTAGCATTTCTAAATTCTAGGTGGATACACAGAAAAAGTAAAACAGTGTTGCTTTGCAGAAGGTATACAAATCTCAAGTGTAATGTTACACAGATGTACTATTCAACTTTTACAGCTAGTAACAAAGACTCTAGCAGCTTTTTGTCTACATAAACTTGCTTGAGCATCTACTGTACATCATTGTCCTTGACTGGAATCCAGATGGTGACAATAGTGCCTGCACAATGTGTGTTGGCGTTGCTTCCTTTAGTCTCCATCAAGGGTACAAATGAAAGGTGTGACAAGGCGCACCCCATAAAAAGGGTGACAGATGTCACCCCCTAAAAGTGCCTGAATGAGGACCTCCATGGCAGAATCAATCACATATTTGTTGTAGAAACTGTATATTTAAAGACTGAAAAAGTTGCTTTCAAATTAATATTTTAAAACCTATAGGATTTTAGATAGATTTACAGTCATTTAAAGCGAATGCTTGCTTTCTGTCAAATTTAATTATTTGGCCACATTTTCGTTGATTATATTCTTAGAAAAAAAACAAGTTTCTTCTTCTTCCCCCCTTTTTTTATAATTTTTTTTTTTTAAATGCTTGTCTCCAGTAAAAGTCCAAAATGACTCACCAATATCCAGCACTCAGTCCGGAGCAGAAGAAGGAGTTGTCTGACATTGCCCAGCAGATTGTAGCTGAAGGGAAGGGAATCCTGGCGGCTGATGAGTCTGTGGGTGAGTGATGGGAAAAGTTGGAGTGGCTGCAAAATATAGCTTAAAAGAATTTTATGATCTCTTCCAAATTACTGCTACAGCTTGGTGATGCATCTTTTATTTTGTAAGTAGTTAATCTCTGATGCCTAATCAAGACTGAGGACACTAACTTAGGTACTTTATTATGACGTGTGTAATTTTCTGTCACTCAAAAATGTGGATGTAAGTAGAATGCTAGGCATAATGGGAAACCCCATAGTAAATGCAAAAAGTGAAAATAAAATTTTCCTGTTAGACTTTGGCAAAATGGTATGGACTCTATACCGTCATGGCCAAAAATATTGGCACCCCTGCATTTCTGTCAGATGATAATGCACCACTTTGCCCAGAAAATTGTTGCAATTCCAAATGCTTAGGCATTCTCATGTTCCTTTTTGTTTGTATTGGTATGACACAAAAAAACAAATCTGACACATTCCACACAAAACCTCAAAAGTGGATTGGAAACTGGACATCATTAACAGTTTCCTGTAACCATCAGTGAGTTTCTTGCACCTTTCTACTGGAATTTTGGACCACTCTTTCACTAACTGCTCCAGGTCTCTGAGATTGAAAGTGTTCCTTTTTCCCAACGCTGTTTTGAGATTTCTCCACAGGTCCTCTATGGGATTGAGATCTGGGCTCATTGTTGGCAAGTTCATTGCTCTCCAATGCTTTGTCTGAAGCCATTTCTGGGTGCTTTTTAACGTGTGCTTTGGGTCACTGTCCTGCTGCAAGACCCATGACCTCTGACGGAGGCACACCTTTCTGACACTGAGCCCTACAATTTCACCCCAGAATTCTTTGGTAGTCTTCAGATTTCATAATGCCATGAACATGGTGAAGACATCCAGTGCCTGAAGTGGCAAAGCAACCCCAAAACATCAGTGAACCTCCACCATGTTTGACTGTAGGGACTGTATTCTTTTCTTTAAAGACCTAATTTCTTTATCTGAAAACCGTAGAATGATGGGCTTTACCAAAAAGCTCTCCTTTTTTGTTTAGTCTGTTCACAACGCATTCTCCCAAAAGGATTTTGGCTTCCTCAGGTAAGTTTTAGCAAACTGTAATCTAGCTTTTTTTTTTTTTTTTTTTTTTTGTTTCTGTGTCAGCAGTGGGGTCCTCCTGGGTCTCCTACCATAGTGTCCTTTTTTCATTCAGATTGCAACATATAGTGCAAGCTGACACAGTTGTACCCTGTTCCTGAAGGTCAGCTTCAATTTGTGTGGAAGTTGATCAAGGTTCTTATCCACCATTTTGAACAATCCTTTGTTGCAATCTTTGATCGATTTTTTTTTTTTTTTTTTTTTTTTTTTTTTTTTTTTTTTTTTTTTTTATTCTCTTTCGTCCAGGGAGATTAACACAAAAACATTAAGATCTGTTAACTGATACAGATGAATTTAATTACAAATTACAGGATCATCACAAACTTGGAATGCAATTTTTCTACAGTTTTGAAAAGGTGCCATTAATTTTGTCCAGTCCATTTTTGGGGGGATTGCATGGACTGTCAAATTTTGGCTTTTTGTGTCATACCAATACAAACAAAAAAATAATAATTAGAATGCCTAATCATTTGTAATTACAACAGTTTTCTGGGCGAAGTGGTGAAATATCTGACAGTGCCACTATTTTTGGCCATGACTGTAATTCAAGCTTCTTTAGTTTTCAAGTACCAACTACCTTCTAAGCACAGTCCAGCTCCATATGCCAGTGTACACTGCACAAGATGCATGGATAAGGACCTTGCACTCTATTTGGGGGAATACATTTATAACCTTCTATACAAATTGTTTTTTGTTACCCAGTCAGAAGAACAAAGGCCATTGTTAAATGGCTTTCCTTTGTGTCAAAATTGCTTACAAGCAGTGCCAGTACAAGGTCCTGGAGCACTTAAGGCGAAAAGGCCAAAATGTGCCTGCCGACTGGCACACCCCCCACCCCCAGCCATCACTTCTGCCTGCACCTTAACCTGCTTGAAGAAGGTCAAAGCTCATATTTAGCCATGTACATGATTCTTGTACAATATTCTTTTAGTGTATGGCATTTTATGTACCACAAACTGTTGAAACTGATAATGTGTTTAACTTGCCTCTGCTATTAAAGACTGTCTGCTGAATGTGAACTGCTCAAATGACTTTCACTGAAATGTCTTCTGTTAGGGAGTATGGCTAAGCGTCTCAGTGGCATTGGCGTGGAGAACACGGAAGAGAATAGACGCCTGTACCGTCAGATTCTCTTCAAAGGTGATGAGCGTATGCAAGAGTGTATTGGCGGTGTTATCTTCTTCCATGAGACCATGTACCAACAAGGAGACTGTGGCACCAATTTTGTCAAAATGATAAAGGATAAAGGCATTGTTGTAGGAATTAAGGTAAGAGTTAAAACACAAAGCAGACAGATATGCTTTTCCAAATACGCAAACTAGGTAAAAAAAAAAATTTTCTTAGGTGGAATAAAAAGAAAATATCACATTGGACAGCACCACGGACAGGCTGCAGGACTTTCAACTAATGTTGTTTTTGCTTTAAACTTGTCCTTTTTAAAATGAACCTGTGGCCAGGCTATGGACATTTGAGTAGTAAATGAGCTTTAAAAAGAGCCCTTACTGATCTGAGAATGAATTGCTCTACAGTGCCTGCAGTTGCAAAAGCAGTAAAGTCTTTCAGTGTAATTCTGTATTGTGTTAATGACCCTTTCTAGTGTGTTATTCAGACAAGCATCTGGATCGGTTTTGATAACAATACTGACACAGGTGACAGATCCACATTAAGAATCTGTTGCTATGACCGTGACAGTCTTAAATATTTATTTAGTGTTAGCGTTTGTATGCATGAAAGTAGAAAACCTTCTGAGAGCAGCTTCACCCCCCCCCCCCCCCATACTTGAGCCCAATCTCGATCCAACACTGTACAGGAGAGCAGCGGCTCTCCTGGGTCTCTCCCTCCTCATTGGCTTGGACACGGCAGCGGGAGACATTGGCTCTCACTGCTGTCAATCTTAGCCAGTGAGGGCAGGGTCGAGCCACGCTATGTGAGTCATATGACAGAGGTGGCTCAGGAGTGAGCACGCAAAAGTACTCCTACAGCAAGTAGCTTGCTCTGGGGGCCCTTGGTGTGCAGGAGAAGCCAGGAGCACTGGCAGGGGACCCAGTAAAAGGTGGATCGGGCCTGCTCTGTGCAAAACCACAGAGCAGGTAAATATAACAAAATTATTTATTTTCTTCTGCCACTTAAAGAAACTAGAGGTAAAGAAGACCAGCTTTTGAGGTGGTATGCAGAAGCACATCAATGCTCACAGTGGGGCATGTCTGTGCTGGGAAGCTATCATGAATGTCACAGCTTATAGCACAGAGCTTCATCTTGGGTCTCATTCAACTTTCAGCCGAGAGATTCTCTAGCCAAACACTACAAAGGGGCCAGGGACTGTGGTGATGTCATTATCCAAATACGCTCATATTTGGGAAAGTATTATTATTATACAGGATTTATATAGCGCCAACAGTTTGCGCATCGCTTTACAATATAAGGGAGACAGTGTAATTACAATACATTTCAGTACAGAAGGAATAGAAGGCTCCTGCTCATGGAGCTTACAATCTAAAGGAAGGGGGAGGTGATACAAAAGGTGACAGCTGTGGGGGATGATCTGGCGGAGGTGATTAAAGTACAGTTCTTAGGTGGGGGTAGGCTTCCCTGAACTGAGTTTCCAAAGATCGCCTAAAGGCAGACCGGGTGGGGGCTGACCAGACATGCTATGGTAGGGAGTTCCAGAGGATGGGAGAGGCTCTGGAGAAGTCCTGGAGGCGAGCATGGGAGGAGGTGATGAGGGAGCTAGAGAGGATATCATGGGAGGAGCGGAGTGGGTGATTTGGGTGGTATCTGTGGCTGAGGTTGGCGATGTAGCTAGGGGCAGTGTTGTGGATGGCTTTGTAAGCTGTGGTTAGTATTTTGAGTTTTATACGTTGGGTTAGTTGAAGCCAGTGGAGGGATTGGCAGAGAGGGGCAGCAGTCGCTGATCGGTTGGTAATGTGTATAAGTCTAGCAGCAGCATTTATAATAGACTGAAGGGGTGATAGCCTGTGCAATGGTAGAGCAGTGAGGAGGGAAATGATTTGTCACTGGGTGAACAGAGCCTGATGGGGGAACTGGAAGCTAGCTCTCCATCAGGTCTACTTAAATTTTGACTGATAACAATTTTTGGTAGGTGCCTTGCAACTATGGGCTTAGTGGTACCCCATCTAGTAACAAGTCAGTCATAAAGGAACATAAAAATGAAAGGACTTTTAAGGTACCCATGTTAAGCACAATATTAAAGCATAATTTTATTCCATTAAATTTTAAAAATAGAAGTTAACCAAATTAAAAATGTTCTATTTGCCCAGTTAGAACCCATACATAATCACCACCTGATGAAACCTCTGAATAACCTTTTTAAGGGTCCTCTTCATACGGGCATGTCATCTATCCATTTTTCATCCATCTGTTGATGGATGAAAAACAGACAGCTATGCATTCCTATGGGCAAACCAATGATCATCCATTTACCTCCCTGTCCATTCAGATCTGGTGTGTGGGTGTTTCATTGGTTAAGGTCCTTCTCCAAACTCTATACCCCCACTTCCTGAACCATACCAGATCACATGTGCTCAACATGGGGTGGGGGGTGGGCGTGGTTGGCACCTTCTCCCTTTGAGGTCAAGGGCTCCTTCCCCACAACCCTGGCTCAGTGGGGGTGCAGGGGGGTAGTTTATCAGAATCTGGAAGCCCCCTTTAAGAAGGATGGATAAATAATGGACAGAGAAAATGCCTGTCTGAAAGGACCCGTATACACCATATCCTATAATAATGTTAATCCAGAATAGCAACTGGTATATGGTGGAAGATAGGCAGGCTTCCACCATATACTGCATTTTCCAGAATGTTTCCACTTCAGGAGTATGAGTATAGACGGAGTATGTGTAAACATAGGAAAAGATTCCATTTATGGACAGGTGTTAGGACCCATAGATCAGAAACATGGCAACCACCCTGAAGAGCACAGTTGTGGCATCAGCTGGGGAGCTGCTTCATACAGATGAGGCTGAAGTAGTATTTGATGGTTTTTAAGCTGTATCGCTGCAACTTCTACCCCCTTAGACTTAATTAGCTTCCCACTTCTCCATCAGGCTTCACCCACCCAACAAGTTATTTCCCAAATATGGGATGGATGCAGTGGGCAGGAAGGTAGCATACTGAGAAAGTATAGACACTCCAACCTCAGTGCCAGGCTCTGACAGATTTCCAGCAGGTGTATGATTTGGGCAAAATTTTGGTCTGTCGGCCTGACCCTTTCTAAAGTACATCTGATATATTCAAATGAATGGACTGAAATTTGCACTGCAGGGGAATGCGGACTGTGTTCCTGAGTGATTCATGTGTGAACCGACCCTAAGGCAGCTTGGATCACACTAATTACTCCTGCTCTGTGTCGAGGGCACTGTTGGGAAGGAGGAGCAGGGTGAGTTGAGCTTTTGGGTCTTTGCCACTCTTCCTTTAAGTTTTGCTTGTCTAACAATTACCAGTTTTCCAGTTCAGGGCAAATTGACCGTTTTAGAGTGTTGTTTGTTTGTGTGTTGTGGGTTTTTTTTTTTTTTTTTTCCAT